AGCCACTGCTGCAGTAGCCGCAGCAGCCGCAGCCTCAGTCACTGCTGCGTACCGCTCATCAAAAGTCTCAATCAATGTGGTCTTGATAGACCCAAACATCTCCGGAATCTCGACCCGAATCGCCGCCGCCACCTCATCGTGGATCATCTGACGAAGCTCCTCGTCACTCACGCCGCTCGGCTCAGGTCTGTGGCGTGTTCCAACCATAATGCCTCTGAAATACAACATAATAATATCAGAGACTCGCTCGAGCGTACTCGCACTCGATAACTCAACCCTACTTGTTCTCTAGTACCCAAAGGATTCTTACTTAGAGTGCGCACTGCTCCGGTGTCTTCAGTAGTACGGGCCCTATACTACCGTCCACACCGCATCAGTATTCACCCTAAGTCCTCCTCCTTGGATCCCAGATCACGAGTACTCTATATCTCGCTGGCATAGGCTACCCTTCGGTAGACCTCTCATCAGCTCCTCACTGCTACCTACTCGCTCTCAAGCATCACATAGCAGCAAAATCCTTCCTAGGCTAAGGCATCACAAAATCAGGCCACTCTAGTCCTAATATGAATACCTAGCCAACTCTAGCATGCATTGCGTATCATAACATATCTCATAACACATAATGTAAGGGTATTTTGGGAAATCATCGTTCGGGCGCTGGCCGATCGTACACACTGCTTCCTTCTGCCTTCCTCAAAATCTTTTGCTCTTTTAGAAAAATTGTTTATTTTATGAAAAACTTTCTCAATTCCTCAGTTTGAGTTCAGGTTCATCCGAAGATGCACCCGAATCCCTCAAACCAAGGCTCTGATACCAACTTGTAACGACATAATTTTTCAAAACAATTTTTCAATTTTAAATCATACTTTCAATCACACGATAATCATAAAACATAATGTATTCACTGTGTCATAACAAAACATGTCCCAGAATCTCAATAACATAAACTCCGTAAGTGTGTACGAATCATGCCGGCGCCTTCCTTCGATCCTCGCTAGTACCTGAAACACATATCATAACAACTGTAAGCATAAATGCTTAGTGAGTTCCCCAAAATACCACATACCACACATACGCCTTTTCAGGCCATAACTCTGTAGGATCTTCCGATCCATGTGTCTCAGGGACTTCCGTCCCAAATCCTGGTAGACCTTCCGGTCCTACCCGTATCGACCTTCCGGTCCGTAACCTCTTGACCTTCCGGTCCATATCATCTTGACCTTCCGGTCCATACCATACATAACATACATAGCACATACATATCACATAACCGCATATAGCACATACATCTCATAGAATACAAGACCTTCCGGTCACACATAAGTACCCTTCCAGGTACAGTATAGTGAGAAGACTCACCTCGAGTAACTCGGTAATCTCGAACTCGGTAAAATCTACTCTAGCCTCCGCCTAATCACATGGAATAAGCACTCTAATCAATACAACTCTTAAGGCTAGACTGTTCCCTCTCTTAGCACTCTCAGAAGGGTAAAAGACCATTTTACCCCTCTCATGGCTCAAAGACCCAAATGTTGACCAAACCCTAAAAGTCAAAAAAAGTCAACTCTCGGGTTACGCTGCGCGTACCGAACCTGTACGCTGGGCGTACCCGGCGACCTCACAGAAACGGGGTGCGCGACCCCTTACGCCGCGCGTACTGGGATTACGCCCAGCGTAACTCCCAGTTTCAGACTCCTTAGCTTTTGGGGTCTTAAACAATTAAGACACACGTCCAACCCCCAGATCTGACTACCCCTTAGCCTCTTAATCCATAAAGTTGGTGACTTTAAGCCTTTGCATGGCTGAAAGAGTCACCAACACCAAAATCATTCCACTTCCAACACTTTAAAGCTCATAACTCAAACATAACTCCCTAATGACGACCAAGTTGGGATTTTTATGGATCTACAACACATATATCACTGAAATGGGACAGATCTAGGTCCACGGAGTCCCTTATGCTCATAAAGTCTCCACCTTTGGGACTTTAACCTTAGAAATGGACCATGAAACACCAAACCAAAATAAAGAGGAAAGTTCTGAGCTTTTTACCTCTAAATGAAGCTCCTCCCTCTGAAGAACTCAGATCCAAACTTGCACTTCAACTTCTAGCCTCCACAAGAACCTCCTCTTCTTCTTCACTAACACACAAAATCACTTTCTAGCTCAAGAACTCACACACACTAGCTTTAGGACGAAGGAAATGCTCTCTTAGGGTTTCTCTCTTTGAAATGGTGGTTGAGGATAAGGCCATATAATTCCTTATATAGTGCACAAGTCTCATTTAGGGTTTGCATCTGGACCAGTTACGCCCAGCGTACCTTAAAGGGTCCGCGTCCATTTCAAGCGCATGAGTACGCGCAACGTACTCTTAAGTACGCCCAGCGTACTCATTTGCTACAATTTCCACTCAATGGGCTAATCTTGACAACTTGACAAAAGAGAAGGGTTAAATAGTTGTACCTGAATTTCGGGATGTTACATGTTAATGGTTAAGCCAGAAAGATTAAGATAAAGGCTCCATAATACGCAATCAGAAACGAAATAGTATACATGAAATTATACCTAACACCTTGGTTGAAATGCATAAGCAAGACAGAAGGACAAACCGTCCTAGATGATACACACATGGGAGCAACAAGGGGCACATGAAGGCGCTAGGACACTTATAGGGAAAGTTCTACACATGGGCATCTATTGGCCCAACATGTACAAAGACGGAACAAAAATGACTAAAAAAATGCATGGAATACCAAACATTTTCCCCAGTACATAATCTCCCAACTACTTCGTTGACCAATATGAATATCCTTTGACCTTTCCACCAATAGGACATCAATATTGACAAACCATTCCCCAAAGCTTCGGTCAAAGTAAAATTCTTAGTCGTGGCAGTGTACTACTTCACCAGTGATCGAGGCAGAACAAGTGGCAACCATAACCGACCGGAGCATCATCAAATTACGTGGAAAAACTTCCTACCAAATTTAGAGTGCTAGACATATTGGTTAGTAATAATGAATTAAAATTTACAAAAAGTTCATTCAAAGGTTGGTGAGCTGATCGGTAGATTAAAAATACGCTTCACTTCATCGGTATTAAGAAACGCTTGGGCAAGGCAAAAGGGATCTGGGTCGATGAATTTCCTGCTGTCCTTTGGTCATACAGGACAACCCCACGAGTAAGCACCCAATAAACTTCGTTTAGCCTCGTATATGGCATCGATGTTATACTCTCCCTGAACTGACACTTGGGTTACTACGAGTCTCTGACTTCAAATAAAAACACTTCAACCAAGACCTGTGCCACAACCTTAACCCGGTTGTGGAAAAAATGTGAGCTAACCCACATCTGTCAAAGCTAGCCCGGAAAAGTACTACAACAAACGTATTCGAGGTAGAGCTTTCAAAGTTAGTGAGATGGTCATTCAAAAAAATGAGGTCAACCAATGAGGTCAACCACACCGAACCATGAGGAAAGTTAGGGCTCACATTGGAAGGACCCTACAAGATTGTGGGAGCACACCGCAATGGGACGAATATACAAAATCGTAGACGGCAGCGAACAAAGATTGACGGTGAACCTAAAGCATTGATATTACGTAGGAACTTGGAGAGAAAACTATATTTTTTTTGCTATTAACTTACTATTGGCAACAATAAAATTTAAGAAAAATTGTCTTCATTTATAGGCTTAGACAGATAACACTATGTAATAAAAATCAATAAAGAACTCTAATAATAATAACCACTCAACGAACTCTAATAATTGATAACATATTCTATATTCTATAGTTACGATCTAAGCAGTTATCGTGGTCAAAAATATAATAGCGTTCACCGGCCGCTATTTGAAATCGCTGTTTTCGCGGCGGTATAGCGGCGATATAGCGTTTTTTATATTATTTAGAATTTATATATATTAGAGTATTAATCAGTAAATCATACTTTAAAGTTCAACCCAATCCAGTTAATTAGTTAATCAGTAAATCATAATTCACATATCATATTTAGTTAATCATACTTCACATATCATAATTAGTTAATCATACTTCACAGATCGGTTACCAATGCCCCGGTTAATCATACTTTAACACAGTTAACAAGAAAACATATGCAATACTTACTATTTTACCATACTTTAACCCAATTACAGTTATCAAATAAAATGATTAAGCAATTTGATAGTTAATCATAATGTAGTATTTCAAGTTTTCAACACAATTAGCAAGACAACACATACATGGTTTCAATGGAAGTCATGACAGTCACAAAATTACAATTTTATTCAATGGAATGACACAAAAGTTTTGGTTTTGGATAAGAAAAAACAATTTTATTCAATGGATTGACACAAAAAAAATGTTTTTTTTATGTAAAATAGCCCAAAATGGAATTTATTCAAATAACGGTTATAGCGCGCCGCTATAGCGGTGACCATAATCGCGGTAAATAGCGGTAAATCGCGGCGCTAATAGCGCCAGCGCTATTCTAAACTGCTATTTTAAAATAGCGTTTCCTTACCTCCGCTAACCGCTATAGCGCCGCTATAGCACCGCTATAACGCCGCTATTGACTACATAGGTTACGATGCATTCACTTTAACAATTATAGTAAAACTACATAGCATTTTTCTAAAAAAAATGATACTCGAGAAACCCTAGTCAGTTGGTCAAAAAAAATTTATTATCTACTTATTTTAACCCTAATCAGTGAGCCAAAAAATTATTTTCAACTTATTTTAACCCTAATTAATAATCCAAAAATAACCCCACTTACTTTAATACACATTTAGTCACCTTCGAGCTAGAGTTTTTTTGGTGGTCTGAAAATACTAATAATAATAACCGTTCAGACGAATTTCCTGGCTAATCTTGGTAAATATAATAGATTACTAGTCAATCTAGTCTAAGAAAAAAGTTAAAGAAGATAAAAGGAGAGAGTTGAATAGTAGCATAGGGTTACACCACTCTACCTCATATAATATAAATAGATATATGTGAACAAACACAAAAGCCTAAAGTTGCCACACATTAGATAACAAAAAGAGAGAGAGCATGGCTTTGGAAACACTTTCTTCCAATGAACTCCTCAACTTCATAATCTATGACACCATCTCTGCAACCCCTTTTAGCTGCAATGACTCCTCTGAAACCACAACTACTAACACTAATCCTTGTAGTAGTTTCTTCTACCATCTTGAAAACGAAAACCCTAACCCTCCTCTAAATCAATTGTGTCAAGAACTCACAGGTGCTGCTGCTGCGATGGAAATTATGAGTTCCACTTCATCTCTAACTACAACCACCACAAAGATGTCTATGGCGGTGCAAGCGTACTGCGGTGGCAAAGTCCCAGAGAAGAACTGCAGTAATAATAACAACAGCAACAATCCGAATTTAGGGATACAAGGAGGAGGGAAGAAGAAGAGGAGAAGAAGGCCTAGGGTTAGCAAGAATAAAGAAGAAGCTGAAACTCAAAGAATGACTCACATTGCCGTCGAGAGGAATCGCCGGAAACAAATGAATGAGCATCTCGCCGTCTTGCGTTCTCTCATGCCGGAATCTTACGTCCAAAGGGTTAGTTTCTTTTACTTATTTAATCACTTTCTCTTGAATATATATAGGGTTTTTGATACAGTTCATCCTTGATTTATTTTTGTAGATTAATGAATCAAAGAACATTTCGGATATATGGGGATTTGGATTTCAATTATTTCCTGTTTAATTTCCATAAAATAGTAGACTCAAATTCAATTATTTCAATTCACATTCTTTTTTTCTTCTTTTTTTATCTTCAAAAGATCTTGAAAAGTTCTTGCTTTATTCCTTTATTTTCAATCTACTTTTTGTCGCAGTAAAAATTCCAAAATATTTTGCAAGAGATTGCAATGCAGATTCATATATATATGTTCTTTTTAAACCATTTTAAAAAGTATCGAAAGTACTAAAGCATATGCTTAATGTAGATCGTGCTCAAGTTAAATTACTAAAATTTGAATCTTGACAATTTTTAAACTCTAGAAAGAATTCATTTTTTTTAACGGTGAATCTTGAACAAGACAACTATCGATTTGAAAGACTTGGTTTATACCGATTACGCCAAAGGTCAAAACGGTCAGAAATCTTGGCATATCTCTCAATCTCTCTCCTGGTACAAAAATCTTAAACACTGTGATTAACAGTGCTTGATCTCCAAAAGCATTTCTCTTCTTTTTAGAGATCACTTTTCGTGTCAATTTGTCGGATATAATGCATTTAATCTTATATGGACCCAAGGAGAAACATGAACAACAATAACAAGCCAAAGTTTTACAGTTTCGTATGGTTGACTTAATTATTTAAACTTGTACTAATTTCCAGAAGAAAAAACCTATAAAACAAATAGCTGATTCGATCCAAGCCTAATGACGGTTATACCCCTTGTGTTCTTTAACCTGCAGGGCGACCAAGCTTCCATAGTTGGTGGTGCCATAGAGTTTGTGAAGGAGCTTGAACATCTCTTACAGTCTCTTGAAGCTCAAAAGTTCATCTTAACTCAACAACAACAACAACAACAAGACGAGGGAGGACATAATAATAATTTCAACGAATCATCAACTCCCCCTCCATTTTCACAATTCTTTTCTTACCCACAATACACTTGCTCTCAAATTCCTAACAAGTACACTTCAAAAAGCAAGGCAGCAATTGCAGACATCGAGGTCACTTTGATCGAAACGCATGCTAATATCCGGATCCTATCGCATAAACGGCTCACTCAGCTCTCGAAAATGGTGGCTTGTTTTCAAACACTTCATCTGTCCGTACTACACCTCAATGTCACCACCTTGGACCCTTTGGTTCTCTACTCCATCAGTGTTAAGGTACGTAAGATAGATAGCATGTGCTCTTCATAATACTTGGATGATAAAACCTGCATTGCATCCCAACCGTTCTTTTCATCCATCGGCATTATTATACACAAAAACAAATACTTGTTCATGTATATAGTGTTCATGCAAAAGTGTGGAGATGAAAATGACATTACATTGGATGACTTCACAATGCAAAAAACCAGCTTTAGAGATGCTCCCAGTACTTTCTATTTTTATCATTACACACAAATTTCTTTTTCTTGGAAAACAAAAAATTTCTCATGGTAAGGAAAACGAAATAACAAAGAGAGTCCGTAATAAACCCAAAAGTTCAAAGTTCGATGTGTTTAATTTTGAGTGCATGGTTTTGGGTTTTCTAGGGAAAAAATAAATTATTAAAACGTACAATGGTGAGGGTATTTTTGGGAATTCCACCAGGTATGACCTAATTCCGTTAATGTTTTGGAAATGATAGGTAGAAAAGGATGTTTTTTCCAAAAACGTTGATGTTTCCTAGTTTAGTTTGTTTGTCTTGTAATTAAAATTAAGGAAACATTGAGCATAAATAATATATATTTCAATTAATCATGAAAAATGGGGAAAACATATGCAGGTGGAAGAAGGATGCAGGCTAAATTCAGCAGACGAGATAGCAGGTGCAGTCCACCAGATGCTCAGAATAATTGAGGAGGAAGCTACCCTATCCCTATGTGTTGATTCCATAAACTAGAAATAGCGTCATGTGTTTTTACCAATTTACCCTTTCTTGCTATGTAAAATCACCATAATGCTCTCTCTCTCTCTCTCTCTCTCTCTCTCTCTCTCTCTCTCTCTCTCTCTCTCTCTCTCTCTCTCTCTCTCTCTCTCTCTCCTCCCCCCCCCCGGGTTGCACAGTAGAATTTGCTATTAGTTTCATGTATAAGAGTAGTTGACCTTGTTAGATGATCTTACGAAGACGAGTGATGTGAGTTGGAGTATGATGAATTATTTTAGTTATGAAAAAATATATAATAATTATTGATTGGTATTGATCAACCATCGTTAGAATTGTAAAAAAAAACTATAATTTGTAAGATAATTGATTGATACCAACACATCGTGGAATATAAATACAAAGTAACAAACTTATGTATTTATAACATTTTTGTCCTAAATCATTGTATCATAAAGTTTAGTTTCTTTTTTGAAAAAGATCATGATTAAATAACAAACATCGAATAAAAAAAAGTCAATGAAAGAAGCCAAAGAGAAAGACAAATAGTAAAGCATAAATTCCCTTTTATTTTGTATTATTTGGTTTATATGTATGGATGTCTTCAAATTTGCATTTCTCCACACACACATGCAATGCCAAAACTTTTGGGAAGAGAAAATCTGAAAAGGAGTTACATCAGTGTCATGCATGCCAATATCTATGTTTTGTTCTAAATAATATTTAGGGAATAAACTATTGATTGCCAAATTAATTTTAATCTTAATTAAATTGGAACTATGGATTAATTAAATTATTAAGTACCTAACTTTAATCCTGATTCAATTGGAACCAACTGTTTAAGTTATGGGCAATGCAAAAAGATTTCATGCTCTTGCTAATTTTACTTTAATTTGGATTTGGATGGAGTTTAACGTTATAACACATATTTAACAGATCGTAATAAATACTTAAATTAACCATGGCCCATTCACATGGGATATATGAACATCATGGAGAGAGAATTTCATCTATGTCCTTATAAATTTTTATAATTATGTCTATAACCTTGCAAAACTTTAAATTACATGTATATCTTTATAAAAATCTATAAACTCATATATATATATATATATATATATATATATATATATATATATATATATATATATATATAATTTGAATATATTTAAAAATTAAAAACAATATATTTAACTTAGATTATAACTAAATTACTAAAATATTCATTTGGATTCCCTATCATAATCGATCTTCTTATTCACAACATGATTCTTTGTCGCTTCATATGCTTTATATTCTACATAATCGATAAGAAAAAAACCCGGTGATTGCACATTACTAATCGTTTGCTAAACAATATATTTCATCTCCTACAATTGAGATTTGGTGGGAGACTTGCGATTATTATCTTGTAAACAATGTTATTCTTCATCTGATTTTTCAGTTATGTTACAGGTAAAATCATAGAAATACTAATTTCAATGTGTATGTCAATATTTTGTAAGGATTCGGGTGGTCAACAGGTCGAAATAGAAACGTAGGGGAAAAGTAATATTGTAAGGTTACAAGTTAATTATTTTCTTAATAACAAAAAATCAATATAAAAACGATGTTTTTATTTTTTTGATGTATTAAATATGATGAAATTATGTATTTTGATATATATCTAAGTTTATATATATATATATATATATATATATATATATATATATATATATATATATATATATATATATATATATATAAAGTTACAATGATAATAGATGAAATATTTCTAATTTGAAATGCTTGTATTAATACAAGTCTTTTTTTACATAAAGAATATAAAAAGAGTGACAATTTTGTCCATTATCTAAGAATGTAATTGAACAATATGGCCCCTAAATTGCAGAAGCATGTGCCCTTAAATTGACATATCACACAAGGTCACCATCCTCTTCCTAACTACTTCTTTACGACTTGTTAGAAATTCAAGCTCTATCAAAAAGACTTTGGTCAAATTGTAAAATAGGAGTTCTACCGTCATTATGTTGTGAAATGAATTCGTTTTGATATCAACTAAAAGAAAAATGATGTGTCATGAACAATTCTAAAAATCCTTTGCTTTTCTTACTAATTTCAATATTGCATGACCATAATATAAAATCAAAATAATACATCAAATCTCTCTCGTGTCCAGATAGATAAAGATGACAATATTGGTGTGTACATTCTAGGCATATGCAGGTGTAACAGAATAATCAATGATAAATGTAAAGTAAACATCCTTACATTTATTTTGATCTTAATTTATAACATTTTATAAATATCCAACAGCTAGCTCGATCTTTGATATTCAACTAAATTTTCCAATTTCAATATATGTCAAAAAATATAGGTTTGACTTGGAAAACCTAGTAAGAATTACAAAGATCAACTCTTAAGGGTATTAAAAATACTCAACAATTCAAATCCAAAGTCAAATCCCTAAAAGGTTTTCAACATCAAAATAGTTTTCTAGATTTAATAGTTGGGGAAAAACATTCATAGTTTTATTTTTCTATAGAACATTAAACGCATTAATGATAAGTCAACAATTTCAAAATAATGCAATGCAACATTCTTCTACTGCCGCTATCCAAGTCAATATCAAAGTCAAAACATTTCTCAAGTATTTGGTCCTCATTTTGAAGGGACTCCAAGAAAAAATATAACAAGGGCAAAATGGTTATGAATCATATGTAAAAGAATAGCACATAACATGACCTCTATATAAAGGCAATAATTTCATCTTACTCGGTACAAATGAACCATGAACCATGACACAAGTGTCATGTACATGTCTTACAAGACCCAACTTGCATGTGAATGTTTCATTGGAAATTATTCATAACTTTTGCAAGTTCGCACGTGAAAGCTTAATTACAAACCATTCACACTATTTTGCAACATTCAAAAAATCACATATGGATATATATAATAGTCATTATCAAGTGTCCAAACTATTCAAGTATCACTTTCCATCCAATATCAATACACATGATCATGATCAAAATTTTATTTAAATATAAAAGAAAATATGTTCCCAATTCCAAAAAGACCTTGTGAAAATCATTTCGTGAATGCACCAAAGAGTACTACGTATAGTTTTCGTCTAATATATGCACAAATTAGTTCATGAAAAGAATCAAAGTACAATAAATAGTAAACAAAATTACATAAATGGTCCTTGTGGTTGACACAATTGACCAACTTTGGTCCTTATGACAAATTTTGTGCATAGATGATCCCTGTGGTTTCAAAATCTTGCAAACATAGTCCTTTTGGCTAATGGTGTTAACTTTTTCAGTTAACTCCCTTGTGAAATGACATATTTGCCCTTCCTACCATAGGGACCATTTATGTACTTTGTTCCAGCCATAGGGACCATTATGTAACGTCATCTATTATTTGTTATTATTTCTAATTAATTTATTTATATTACTATGATTTATATTTTTTTGACATTTTTTCGAATATATTATTTAATGTTTTTTTATATATATTTTTGCTTACACTTTTTGATATTTTGTGCATATAATCTTTTCTAATTTTTTGACATTTTTTTCGAATACGTTTATTAATTTTTCTTTTGACTATTTGTTTGAATAATTTCTTTTAATTTTTTTTTGACGTTTTATTCGAATATATATTTTTTAATGTTTTTTTCTACATTTCGTTTGTTTGTGTTTATTAAAATTTTCTTGGTCATTGTAATCATAACTCCTAAGTTAACTCACTTACACTCATATTTTCCTGATTTTTGTTCTTTTAATATAAATAAGGCTTTATAAGTACTATTTTATAATTCAAATATATAACTATATAACACAATATAAGGTTGTATAATTATTATTTTTGTAAAGCTTTTTATAAACATTTTTAATAAAAAACATTAAAATTTTTGTTAAACGTGAATATGATTAATATAAATTAGGTATACATAGGCTAACCTAAGATTGACTCGTAGTCTTGACGAGAACGCCCATGTCATTTCACATTGGACTTAACTTTAGTATTTTCGAGTTATTTAATTCTTTTAGACGTTTTGTTTTCGATTAGCTTATATCTTCTGATTGACCTATCTATATTAATCATATTTCTATTTAACAAAGGTTTTTATATATTTAAAAAAAATGTTTATAAAAAGCTTTACAAAAATAATAATTATTCAACATTATATGTGTTAATTATATGTGTTAATTATATGTGTTATATAGTTACATATTTGAATTAAAAAAATAATTATTATATATATATATATATATATATATATATATATAATATATATTAAAAGAACAAAAAAAAGGAAAATATGATTGAAAGGTAATTAAGTTACGAATTATCACTATAGTTACCATGAAATCTTTAACAAATATAAACAAATAAAATGTAAAAAAATAATTAAAAAATATATTTCAACAAAACGTCAAAAAAAAATAGAAGAAATTATTCAAGAAAAAAGTCAAAAGAAATATTAATAAATGTATTCGAATAAAACGAAAAAAAAATAGAAAAAATTATATGAACAAAATATAAAAAAATTCAAGAGAAATTAAAAAAACATCAATAATATATTCGAACAAAACGTCAAAAAAATTCTAAATCATAGAAATATAAATAAATTATATAAAAAATAATAAATAATAGACAAAGTTACATAAATGGTCCCTGTGGCTGGAACAATTTACATAAATGGTCCTTATGGCATGAAGGGCAAATAGGTCAATTCACAAGGGACTTAACTGAAAAAGTTAACATCGTTAGCAAAAAGGACCGTCTTTGCAAGATTTTGAAACCACAGGGACCATCTACGTATAAAATTTGTCATAAGGACTAAACTTGGTCAGTTGTGTCTACCACAAGGACCATTTATGTAATTTTGTCTAAATAGTATGGACATGTATTTTTAGGTAATGAACACACCTCAAGTGTAAACTAACACCGAATATGTTCTTTAAGGTATGAGGATGATTTAGGATAATACAAAGTATAAGATAACATATAACAATCTTCTCAAGGTATATAAAGGGATCATGTACAATTATAAATATATAAAGTTGTAAAATACCATTCT